ACATCACAAGGAGACGGTAACTACAGGAATCATAAAGAGAACATGATTTGGTACTGAGTATAATTCCAATATTAATGCTAGTGGCACACATTACCAGTGTACCATCGGTGGCATGCGAGAGTCTGATAGACGTTAGAATGACAGTTAATAGCCTAAATAAGGACCTTTTTTTTTTAAAGGCAATTTATAGCGAGAAATTTAACTTTTAACTTTAACGTTAAATTTCGTTATTTTAACGTTAAAATCTTTTAACCCTGTCGTAGCTCAGTCGATTAAGGCAGTGTCTGGGATGCTCCCGAACGCAGGTTCGAATCCTCGTCACAGCTCTTATGGATTTGTTCATTTATAGCGAGAAAAAATTATAATGGAAGCATGACCAATATTGGAATACGTAGCACCGGCCTGGAATCTCCCCAAAATTGTAAAAGTGTTCAGTCTTGCAACAAAATTTGTGTTCGAACTGAGAGAGTTAAGCGGCGAAGAGTGGCCAAGGGATCCCATTTTAATCATCCTGCAGGAGAACAGAAACAAAAGGGGGACATGAGCACAACATACAAGTTACTGAGGAAAATAGAGATGGTGGACAAGGACAGCCTTTTTAAATTAAGTAAAAGTAGGACAAGTTGGAAGGTAGGAAAGCAAATGAGGTCAAGAAATTACTGGAAATACTCGTACCCTCTACAAGTGGTTGACAAGTAGAATGAATGGAAAGAACAAGCCGTGGACGCCTCCTTGATCTACAACTTCAAGACCAAATTTGACAACAAATCCCGAAGGTCAGAATAGTTACGAGATGTACAGTTACAGGTCATAGTTACAACAGAATAGTTACAACAGGCAAGTCAGAGGAGCCCAGAGAGCTTGACCCGACTTAATTCCCTATACCTTGCCTTGAGGTTACCTTGAGGTGCTTCCGGGGCTTAGCGTCCCCGCGGCCCGGTCGTCGACCTGGTCTCCTGGTTGCTGGACTGATCAACCAGGCTGTTGGACTCGGCTGCTCGCAGCCTGACGTACGAATCACAGCCTGGTTGATCAAGTATCCTTTGGAGGTATTTATCCAGTTCTCTCTTGAACACTGTGAGGGGTCGGCCAGTTATGTCCCTTATGTGTAGTGGAAGGAACCGTCTCGGGCCTCTGATGTTGATAGAGTTCTCTCTCAGAGTACCCGTTGCACCTCTGCTCTTCAACGGGGGTATTCTATAGTCAATGTTGAGTAACTAGTCTTAGGAAAACCATCGCTGCCACTTATAGCTTGCACCTGTGCTAGCCAGCACTCCCACAATTATCCCAGCTGCTACTCCCACCCTCCTCCCCACAACTCATCACAACCCTCCCCCTCCTAGACAGCACATCCACCACAATCATCCATCTTCCTCACGGAACCACCACCACCATAACCCTAGTTACTCCACCACTCCCCAGCACCACCACAGAACCAGCACTATTCCCCCCCCCTCACTCTCTCTCCCTACTAAACCACCACCCTGATCACCATTCCCCCTCTTAACCGAAATACCATCACGCCACTCACCCCCACACACCAAACAACCATGCTTTTCTTCCCCATCGAACCACCACCTCAATTCCCCCTCACCAAACCTCTATCACCACCTTAATCACTCCCCCCCCCCACTCCATCCACCTCACCGCTCCACCAAATCACCACCATAAGCCTTTCCCTCCCCCACCGAACCACCACCACAACCATCACCCACTCACCCCTCTACTACCACCACAACCAGGTTGTTACCTGGTTGATTGAACCACCACCCACTCACCCCTCTACCACCACCACAACCACCACCCACTCACCCCTCTACCACCACCACAACCACCACCCACTCACCCCTCTACCACCACCACAACCACCACCCACTCACCCCTCTACCACCACCACAACCACCACCCACTCACCCCTCTACCACCACCACAACCACCACCCACTCACCCCTCTACCACCACCGCCTCCAATATGAACCACCCCCACGCCCCGCCCCACCTTATTAAAGCCCCACACTGCTGGGTCTGACAGAGTTAGTATGATGATCTCAGTATAATGGTCCACAGACACCCAGGGCACCGAGGGTCGACGCTGGGGACCACAAGACATAATCGACTCCTCACATAAGGCGGCGCAGTGCTTCCTGTCCCGACCAGACTATCACCCCCAACTCTTAAAAGAGGGATAGAACCCTCTTGCGTCGACCTCTTCAATAATTAGACTGACTGTCACCACGTCGTAGAGACAGTCTCGAGGAGCTGAGACCGGACGCTGAGGCGAGAAGGCAGTGGGGGGGGGGGGGGAGAGGGGGGGGATGGTGGAGGGGGGGATGGTGGAGGGAGAGGTGAACTTCGATCAATACCGTTAAATCACCCCCAAGGAAGTCAGCCATTAAGGGTGAGAAGCCGTTTCCATGAGGTAGGAGTGTCGCGCTTGTGAGGGTGGGGCGCTGAGAGCGAACCCCGGCTGCTGGTGGCGACGCTTAAATCATGCAGTGTGTGTCTTGGCTCTGTCCTTAATAATTAGACCACTGATAAGAGAGACTGAGTCTGCTCTACCCCCCCCCCCCCCCCCCCACCCCTCCCCTCCTCTCGTGCCCTGAATATGCATGAGGGAGTAACTTGCATCTCCAGTCACCACCACTACCACCATCACTGTTGTCACTATCACCACAACCAGCACTGATACCCTAAATAATAACAACGGAGGCACACACACACACACACACACACACACACACACACACACACACACACACACACACACACACACACACACACACACACACACACACACACACACACACAGGGGCAACAACGG